GGGGTCCCATATAAAAGCCCCAGATAAGCTCTTATCCGGGGGTCCCATATAAAAGCCCCAGATAAGCTCTTATCCGGGGGTCCCATATAAAACCCCCGGATAAGCTCTTATCCGGGGGTCCCATATAAGACCCCCAGATAAGCTCTTATCCGGGGCTCCCATATAGACCTAGTATAGAAGCCCCGTATAAGCTCTTATTCGGGGCTTCCATATAGACCTGGTATAGAAGCCCCGTATAAGCTCTTATTCGGGGCTTCCATATAGACCTAGTATAGAAGCCCCGTATAAGCTCTTATTCGGGGCTTCCATATAGACATGGTATAGAAGTGCAGAATTCATATAAAAGCCCCGGATAAGCTCTTATCGGGGGGCTTCCATATAGACCTGGGATAAAAGCCACATACACATTTCATAATGTATAATGACAATGACAATGATGACATTTTATGAACATTAACAGCTTTTAATTACGTACATATGAAGCAACATCTAAAGTGACAGGAAATTATGAAGTGCAATGATCGAGGAATATCTTCATCTCTTCAGCTTGAGACATCACTTTTCTTAAGCTTCTCAAGTACTTGCAAGTACAATATAAAGTGGCTGAATTCACTAGAAAATGTTAAACTTGAATGTAGTATTTTTCTTTAACTTGTTTCTGGAAATTAACAAGTGATCCTACCTGGATCATTAAGCAAATGTAAGGTCAGAATCAGATACGCCGTATTGGACCCCCTCTAGCCAATGGATATTGAGAGGGGGCTAGCTAGTATAAATTCGATACTGTCTTATGCCACCCTGGGATCTGCTTGGAGATTAGGCGAGATATCTAGGTCAACATCCGGGCACGGTTCCGATGCCCGAGCTCTGATTGGCCAGCGAGCGTACGCATGCGTACTGTGTTGGCGGTCAGGATAAACCGTCAGAGTCGAGAGAGAGGAGATTGAGATTGTACAGAAAACAGGCGTTTAAGTCGCTAATTCTGCGCGATAATGGCACCAACGGAGTCTACCATGATCGAAAATCAATTTTGGAGAGGCTGGGGAATCGAGGGGAGATGTGATGTCGGTTCAAACGCTCGCAAATTTCGAATAGTGACGTTAGCAACTTTCGTCGCCCCCCTCCCCCTTGTCCGGCTGGCATCGCAGCAAAACAACAAAGCAGCATGAACAGCCTTTGCCTCCGGTAAGTGCAAAAGTACATTTCAGAAAATGATTATTAAACAAAACAAAACAAGACTATATTCAGTTTACTTTTCTGTCTTTTCTTGATGTCTTCGCTAGAAACAATAGAATGTCTCCAACTAACTTCCCCGTCCCCCTAGCCCCTCCCTCAAATTATATATATAAGTATAATATTACAAGGTTTTGTCTTGTACTACTACTTCCCAACGATCAGTAGGCATTTCTGTACAGTAAGTACATGACTTTTGTGTATTGATAAAAAGAGCTGTGAAAAAATGTGAAAATTTATATATTTGTCCTATGATAGTGGCTACTGGCTAGTGAACTAGAAGTAGAATAAGATCAATAAATAAAAAAGAAGTAGTATTGTTAAGTAAAACCCCCCAATGCAAAATGTTGATATTGTATTTAGTTACAGCTGATTCGTCAAGACATGTACATGTACAATATATCTGGTAGAAATATGTTACAAATTGTATATTGCGGATGCCTCAGGATAGTTTTCTGACAAATGTAAATAATGTGATACAGTTTGTCACCTGTGTAATTTTTTTCCCTTTTATATACCTCCAGGATGTACTGTACGGTAGATGCAGCAGAGGTTGTAAGGAGGACAGTCTAGATGAAAGGCACGCAACTGCGTCTGAGTCTTCGAGTACCTGACTGCTGCTACAGGCTCCTTAGGTAAGACTACAGCCCTGCATACTCCTCAGTATCACCACACTTTTACTTTTATTAGTATTAATGTGTTCCTAAACAAATATCAGGTCAGAACCTGTACCTGAGCTGAAGGGTGCCAATGTTGATGATTAGTGCTGTGTGTCTGTAAAATTCAGCACAGAGATAGTAAAATTGGTTAGGTACAAGTCCAAAATTCTAGACCGCTAATATGCCGGGAATGGAAATAATAAGACCTAAAAGAACCTACCGGTAGACCTTAGTACACATGTCATTGTCTTTATTAAAGTTCAAGTGCCAACCATTATGTGAACACGTAGTTCAAGTACATGTCTGGACCTGTACCTAATTTAAAGTTGGGTACCTGCACCTAAAATAGTGTAACTAAACATGATCTGCTGATGATGTTTGGTTTAGATTGTATACATGTATGTTTGTAAATGCTATCTTGAAGTAAGTTAGTGCTTTTGTAAGTTGCACCGTAATCATGTGACATGTTTCTCAGTGATGTGAATCAATGTGTAATGATACTTTTGTTCAATCATACAGGAAATGACTCCGAAGAAGTACTCCAAACCAACACCAAGACATCCAACATGCAAACACAGAACAGACAGCCTTACCCTGGGTGCATGGCAGCAGTGGAGTTAGATGTGGATAGGATTGTTTATACATGAGCAGTTCTACAACATATTTCCCAAAAGTTAACATTGTGGTGTGCCATGTGCCTCATGTGGTCAGTACTGATAGAGACCATAGGTTACTGTATTTTGCCTTATTTTGACAAACATGTAGATTTGTTTTTGTGTCTGATGGTTGTCAGACGATTAGACACAAGCTATTAAGGTCTTATTACTATATTAGCCATACCAGAATGTGTACTGTAAAATGTATTCCAGTTCCAATCTCCAGTGATTTAATATGATGACAATGATACATTTTACATTGTGTCGCAAAAAGTCACTGATATTGTA